GAACTATTCATGAAAATTGTTTGGAATTTGTGAGCATTTGAATGAAATTTTCTGTATAACTAGAACAGTCAAAACTGCAGAACTGGAGATATAAGCTTGCATACCTCTTAATGTTCTAAACTACTATGCCGGCAGCTTTCAGTATGTCTAAAAACATTAATCTGCAGTGCAAGCACTATCATAATGTCAAAAATAGAAAGCATTGGCTATATACTTGGTCACAGCTTCTGAAATATGTATTTTCTTCTAACATGTATGTGTGATTTAAAAAAAACTGTTCATGTAAAGTTTTACATTTGATAATGCAATTAAAAAGAAATAAATAATAAAAAAAAAACAACCTGTGTCTTGTTTACACACTAGGTGATTTATCATTTAGAAGCAGAATAGCTGAAAAGCATGACATGTAATTTAAATGCCTTCTTTTTGTATTATTTTAAAAGAACTTTTATCGCAACATTTCAATGAAAAAAATGAAATTTTAGCCATCTGTCTGTACTAGGTTTAACTTTCCATGCATAAATAAGTTCTACCTTTATCATGGGCTTCATACACTTATTTATACAAATTTAAGCAAGTCACTTCCTCCATCTCCATTATTTAATTTTTTTATCCTATGTAATGGCTAGCCTAACCCATCCAGTTCAGTCATCTTATATGAGCCGTGTCACGACAAAACCAACATTATGCGTTTGCGACCAGCATGGATCCAAACCAGTCTGCGCATCCGCACAGTCTGATCAGGATCCATGCTGGTTCGCTACCAGTTTCTTCTACTTGTAATATGGTTTGTAAGCGAACAGGCACGGATCCAGATCAGACTGTGTGGATGCGCAGGCTGGTCTTGGAGCCATGGCTTGGTCGCAAAACCCATTGTGTTGGGTTTTTTCGTGACGCGGCTCATGTGCTATTGAGTTTTTGCCAATACATAGCCATGGCCTTGACAAGAACCAAAATGGAGTATCCATTTCCCCCCAAATAATTTTCCCATTTTAGGCTATTTAAAACTTAAGTATTAGGTTTTATACTTTAGATATAGATTTTCATTTATTAATATTCATGTTGCGCCATTACCTTCCAAAAAATTCTACACTTTTAGTTTTTATATGGGTACCTTCTTGACATTTTTTCAAGCTTGGATTTGACAGTATCCGTATTAAACACCCGCGTTCTAATTTTAGACATTGAAGAAGCACTTCCGTTACTATTTTTAGTAACGGGAAAACCCCTCTTTCATTAGCAACCGACTTAAGAATTTTCTTAAGTGTAATATTTATTACTTAAGATATTTCTCAATCTTAAGAAATAATCTCAGCTAAGTTTTTCTTAAGTCATTTTCAGAATACGACTTAATCTTAAGATAAAAAATTTTCTTAGCTAAGATTTTTTTTTCAACTTATGTTTTAACTTAAGAAATAACTTAAGATCAGTTGTGAATACGGCCCCAGGGTCCGTATTCAATATACATCTTAAGTTAATCTTATCCTTAAATATGACCTTAAAGATAAGAAAATCTTAAAATCAGCGTTTTTTCTAAGAAAAATCTTAAGTGATATTTAATAAACATCTTATCTTAAGTTTTTCCTTAAAAATACGATTTTCAGTCCTTAACTTTAAGGAAGCCACATAGCAACCTTAACTTTGCTCTTAGAAATAAGGAATTTAGATTGATTCATCAAAAACGCCATTTTCTCGGGCAGGTAAATATCTTACGATGTACATGCGTGTTAATTGAAATATTTTTCGTTCAAAAATGATTTTATATGCTTATTTGCTAATTTGAAGGGCGATAATCGATGTATGTTCCGTAAAAGTCGCGCGTCACAGGTCGAATGTTTACATCGTTTAAGCTCAATTTACCTAAAACACGGGGGTGGAACCCCATATGAATCTCAAAAATGAGCATCGGTAAAAATGATATGTGAATTTCCGCTGCACCAGATGTGAAGCATAACACCAGATGTGACTGGAAAAATAGGCCGATCGCAGGGTAAGTTTTCATCTTTTTAAACATTTATATAAAATTCAATCCTTTTTTTAAGAAAATCGAAATGTGATTCTACCCTCCTGACTCTCCTCTATATTACCCCTTGTTGTTTTGGATTTCTATGCAGTCTTCATCGAGATATTCTTTCCGTCGTGGGTTCTGGTGTGTCCAAAACATGCAATATGAATGAAGAAAATGTCACTAAACGGACTCGAAAAACATAGATTTTACGAAATCTCACTACAGGTCGATGCTAAACATTCAAACAAATCCTGGTTTAAATATTTATTGAGATTTGGCTACATACAAGGGAATCGCTGCTCAAAATTGCATTTGAGCTCCAGATGTGCTGAAGAGATTCATATGTGCATAGCATGAAAAATTAGCAACAATCTAGAATTTATTCTATTGTGTATCATTCTGTAATAAATTCTATTATCCGAAATAGACACATTTTCACGAGACGAGCTTGAATAACATAGTATCCATATAGAAAGAGATATAATTATAAGACATTCTGCATACGAAAGGTTTTTAAAATACGTAGATATGGTGGGAAGGCCTTGCTTATTTTCACTTATTGACGTCGTGTGTACTGCAATCTTCCCCTTTTATGCCACCATGCATTAATTAATTAATTAATTATTCACTCGACTGCACTGTCTGCTTAATAGGAGAGTAATGTGAAGCGTGTTTGAATTTTATTATGATGCTGTAAGAAAGTTAGTGATAAACTTTTAAAAAAAGATCAAAGAAGATTTGCATATTTATTTTCCACATTAAGAAACGTCCCTGCAGAATATTTACATGGTTCACTTCATGCCCACAGTCGCAATTATGGGTCATTGCCTATCTGAATTTTATGCCTGCTCTGTAATTCTTTGAATGGTTTTAAAGAAACTTTAACATATCTTAACAGTATTTAGCGGACATGCGTAGCTCATAACATAGATTGTTTCCTGAAAATGTTCATGTACGCAAAAAGATCAATGAACTTATTCTCCGCTTTATAACTGTTATTTCAGTGGGAACTGTAAATTCCACTGTAAATTATAAACACTTAATTTTTTTCGTAATTCGTTTCTTTTGTTATTTTTAGGAAAATGGGTCGTTTTCTAGGCACAAAAAGGAAAGGTTTAAAACTTTCAAGAATAAAACGTCACGTGTATCGTTTTAAAAGAGGAAGTCATCAGCGCTTACATCTCCTTTTACGCCTTTTAAATTGTCCCCATGTGTCTAAAGATTCCGCGTATCGCAGACTCCAAAGTCCAAAAATTCACCAGAAAGTGCACGTATTACTTTTTCCAATTCAAAGAAAAAACGCTTAATATTCAATTAACAACTATTAAGTCCCATGAAATGTTCTTCACAGAAAGGATTTGCAAAGATAAATAAAATCAGTTACAATGAACAGATAGACATTATGGATGACATGGGTTACATAAAAAGTAACCGAGGTTTCGGGTGGGAAATTTTATTTATGGAGAGAAGCCAATCATAAATTGAAATTTTATGTTTATTAAAATTCTCATTTCTGTTTATCATGCGATAAAACAGTTATAATATATCGAACTCGACTATTATGTAGAAATATCATGACCTGGGCGGCATCTCGGGTTTTCCTTACAGACAATGTTCTCGGCCCATATCCTGTAAAGAAAAACCTTCGATGCCGCACCAGGCCATGATATTTACACATAACAGTCTGTCGCTATAACTATAACTTGTGGAATATTAAAGTGATAGATATTTTTATGAATGTAAACATTATTAAAGAAACATATTATATGACACGATAGCTTTACAAAGTTCATTACTCTCAGTTTGGTTTGTCCAAGTTACATATCATTTATTAGTGAATTGTTTATCATAAGAGGACTATCCGCTCTGCGTCAACATTTTCATGTACTCGGGCCTTTTAGTATTTCTAATGCTATTATAAGCTAGTAAGCTCTGTCACTGTGGTAATCAAACATACTAATGTTACAATTAAACTTTCAGCCAAAGATGCAAAACCTATATTGTTTCTATACATTGGCTATTCAATGATTATATGGAAGTGGTACGTAGTTTTGTAGATGGTTTTCACTTATGAATCTCTTCAGCACATCTGGAGCTCAAATGCAATTTTGAGCAGCGATTCCCTTGTATGTAGCCAAATCTCAATAAATATTTAAACCAGAATTTGTTTGAATGTTTAGCATCGACCTGTAGTGAAATTTCGTAAAATCTATGTTTTTCGAGTCCGTTTAGTGACATTTTCTTCATTCATATTGCATGTTTTGGACACACCAGAACCCACGACGGAAAGAATATCTCGATGAAGACTGCATAGAAATCCAAAACAACAAGGGGTAATATAGAGGAGAGTCAGGAGGGTAGAATCACATTTCGATTTTCTTAAAAAAAGGATTGAATTTTATATAAATGTTTAAAAAGATGAAAACTTACCCTGCGATCGGCCTATTTTTCCAGTCACATCTGATGTTATGCTTCACATCTGATGCAGCGGAAATTCACATATCATTTTTACCGATGCTCATTTTTGAGATTCATATGGGGTTCCACCCCCGTGTAAAATATTGCCACTATTGGAGGCGAACATTTAGAAGGCAAATGATTAACAGAGTCAAGATATACCATAGCATTGGCTAAATGCGCATATGTTTTGTTGTGCTTACGTATGTGATTTATAACCGGAATTCGCGAGTTTACAACTATGATTGAAGTAGACTAAACATCTTGTTTACATCACGGAATTTAAATCCGTGTTTACATGTATTATGATCCACAAACTCTTCAACAATAACTTCCGGTGACTGTTACCAGTTATAAACAATGAAGTGTTTAATTGGTTAAATAAAAACGATGATGCCACTGCATGAAAGCACATCTTCAACGGTAACTTTCATAAGGAAGCTTATATAAAAAATGGGCACACTGGATTACTTTTATATGAACAACACCGTTGATGTTGAGGATTTACAGGTTTGTAACCTTTAAACTTCGTGATTTTAATATCACTATATCATGGAAAAGACCCCAGTGTCTATACAATCTTCATCTGTTTTCTTTATTTTACATTACTATTTTAAATTTAATTGATACATTCAAGTACCCCCCCCCCCCCCCGAAATATACAGCAGGGTCTTATCCAGGAGATATTCTTATATATATATATGTGTGTAGGAACATGTATAATATCGTAGCATCTCTTAGTCTTATATCATGTATGATGTGTATTTGACTGCCTCTGTGGTCGAGGGGTTACTGGTTGGGGACCACCAAAACCGGACAACCACCAAACCCGGACGGCCCCGAAAATGCTTAATTTAGTATTTTCTTTGTTCAGTGGTTGTCAGTCACATTTTTATCAACAATAAGTGCATGTTTCTTTTAAAATTAAGTAAATGAATTTATTTCAACCTCTGTAAATGGTAATATTTTAGTGTCTATTTCAAGAATGTTAACGTTGAAATTTGGGGGTCAAGAAAGCAATGCCTGACCTCATATACCAGCTATAATCATTTGCAGAGTGAATAATAGAATTTCCAAAACTTCAGCATTTGTTGCTGACATATTGTATATCATGTTACAAATCAAAACACCCAGGCTTTAATCTGAATTAAATCACATATGATCATGTACATATCTGTCCGGACACATGGTACTGTAGTGTAGACAATTTAGGTAATTTTGATACCCTCCTTGTCGAGCCTCAGATAAAAGTGTCAATACAATCAGAAATAAACAAACTAGTTTATTAGTTAGGAGAAGAACCTAGCTGAACTGTGTCAAATTTTTTGGTCTCTAGGTTAAAAATTATGAAATCTGTACAGAAAAATGTTCCAAAAGTGTCCGGTTGATGGTGTCCGACCAGTAGATGATTTCTAATCCAGTTACCTCTCTGGCATAGGTTCGATCCCCAGGAGATGCTTTGGTAGTTTAGCGTTTATTTCAAATTTTGGGTAATATTTGGGTATTTCGTGCATGCCGAACATACATATGAGCCGCGTCAGGACAAAACCAACATAAAGGGTTTGCGACCAGCATGGATCCAGACCAGCCTGCACTATCAGGATCCATGCTGTTCGCTATCAGTTTCTCTACTTTTCATAGAGTTGGTATGCGAACAGCATGGATTCTGCACAGATGTGCAGACTGCTCTGGATCCATGCTGGTCGCAAACCCTTTATTATGCTCCCCGAAAAAATTTCGGGGGAGCATATAGTCGCCGCCTTGTCCGTCCGTCCGTCCGGCCGTCCGTCCGTCCGTCCGTCCGTCCCCTTTTCTTGTCCGGGACATAACTTTGAAACAACAAGAGGTATCAACATGAAACTTTGTAGGTAGATAGATCTCATTAAGTAGGTGTGCAGTGCACAAGAACCGTAACTCTGCCTTGCCTAATTTTTGAATTATTCCCCTTTGTTTATTTTTACACTTTGAACTTTGTCCGGGACATAACTCTAAAAGTATAAGAGGTATCAACATGAAACTTTGTAGGTAGATAGATCTCATTGAGTAGAAGTGCAGTGCACAAGAACCGTAACTCTGCCTTGCCTAATTTTTGAATTATTCCCCTTTGTTTATTTTACACTTTGAACTTTGTCCGGGACATAACTCTAAAAGTATAAGAGGTATCAACATGAAACTTTGTAGGTAGATAGATCTCATTGAGTAGAAGTGCAGTGCACAAGAACCGTAACTCTGCCTTGCCTAATTTTTGAATTACCCCCCTTTGTTTTATTTACACTTTGAAATTTGTCCGGGACATAACTCTAAAAGTATAAGAGGTATTAACATGAAACTTTGTAGGTAGATAGATCTCATTGAGTAGAAGTGCAGTGCACAAGAACCGTAACTCTGCCTTGCCTAATTTTTTAATTATCCCCCTTTGTTTATTTTACAATTTGAACTTTGTCCGGGACATAACTCTAAAAGTATAAGAGATATCAACATGAAACTTTGTAGGTAGATAGATCTCATTGAGTAGGTGTGCAGTGCACAAGAACCGTAACTCTGCCTTGCCTAATTTTTGAATTATCCCCCTTTGTTTATTTTACACTTTGAAATTTGTCCGGGACATAACTCTAAAAGTATAAGAGGTATCAACATGAAACTTTGTAGGTAGATAGATCTCATTGAGTAGGTGTGCAGTGCACAAGAACCGTAACTCTGCCTTGTCTAATTTTTGAATTATCCCCCTTTGTTTATTTTACACTTTGAACTTTGTCCGGGACATAACTCTAAAAGTATAAGAGGTATCAACATGAAACTTTGTAGGTAGATAGATCTCATTGAGTAGGTGTGCAGTGAACAAGAACCTTAACTCTGCCTTGCCTAATTTTTGAATTATCCTCCTTTGTTTATTTTTACACTTTGAACTTTGTCCGGGACATATTTCTTAATGTATAAGAGATATCAACATGAAACTTTGTAGGTAGATAGATCTCATTGAGTAAGTTTGCAGTGCACAAGAACTGTAACACTGTCTTGCCTACTTTTGGAGTTATTGCCCTTTGTTCATTTTGACACTTTGAACTTTGTCTGGGACATTACTCTAAAATTATAAGAGATATTAACATGAAACTTTGTAGATAGATAGGTCTCATTGGGTGGAAGTGCAGTGCTTAAGAATCATTACTCTGCCTTGCCTTATTTTGAAGTAATTGCCCTTTGTTTATTTTTACTTTTTGACTTTTGTCCTGGACATTACTTTAAAACTATTAGAGATATCAACATGAAACTTTGTAGGTAGCTAGATGTAATTGGATAGAACTGCAACGCTTCAAGAACCTAAACAAAGCCTGGTCTAATTTTGGAGTTATTGCCCTTTGTTCATTTTTTTTATACTTTCCTGTGTCCAGAACCTTCTCGGGGAGCATCACCCGGTTCAACCGGTTCTTGTGTTGGTTTTGTCGTGACGCGGCTCATATGTATGTTCGGCATGCACGAAATACCCAAAATTTGAAATATACTAAAAAATAAATGTTTAAGACTTTAATTATGATTTACAATATACACTCTCACTAAGGTATATTCAAAAATACCCAAATATACATTTTCCTATCATTGTGTTTTGAACCAAAATATACCCAAATACAGTATACTCCATTAAAGCTATTAATTTTAAATGGACACTTGTATGAATTTTTAACAAAATTATACCATTAACATTTAAATGTAGACAATAAATATTATACCTTAATTTTAAATCTCATGTATATTCATTAATGAACCTAGGTAAGCAAATGTCACAAGTTTATTTTCTAACAACATCAGAACTGCCCATTTCAACGAAATTAATGAAAGTTATAGCCTGCTAGGTCATATTATTTTATTAATATCAAATCATTTTATTATTATAATCTAATTTTATTCAAACAAAAATGTATATTGCTATGTTTGGGTGCATTTGCAGTGATTTTTTTCACTGTATATTACAGCTGTAGAAAGGCTGTTTCCCCTAGCCAAAAATAGGTATATTTTCCCCTAAAATTTGTAAATATGCTAATATTTTCCCCTAAAATGCCTTGTATTCTTCCTTCCCAGAACCATGACTTAACAGAATCTGCATCTGACTTATATCACCTAGAGGATAGAAATCTGCCCCTATACAGCCTCTGCTATGTACTGAATTGATATTATTTTTTTTCACATCAAATCTGTGGGTAAATTCCATTTTCAAGTACTGGAATTTGATTTCAGGTTCTCCCCCTTTTTTTGTTTTATCACTCTATATTTTCACCTTAAAGCCAGGTTTTTTGGAAAATTGAAAAAAAATCACTGATTAAAACAGATTTGGGTATGTTAGGGTATTTCGTGCCGCCATGTGTTGAAGTTCAATAAAATTGCTGTTTATGATAACTTTATCTGCTTCCATTAAATAATGATTATATTGAGTTCATGCAGACTATATAGACTAGTAATTTAACATTAAAAGTCTTATATAATTATTATGTATTTTTTTTTTTATTATTTCAGGTTCTCAGTCACTGGATGATGTATTTTCGTGAATTCTTGCATCTAAAAGTTCCACTATTGGATGGACACTCTTTCTCTTCAAGCAAACAGTGATTTTTTTTTTTTCAAAAGCTTGTTGTGCAGGAAAGACACGGTTAACCGTTTAAGGAAACATTCAATGAATGGCCGATTCAATTAATAGGAATTGAAAAGAAAATCAATACAAGATTTTTATGAACTTATGAACTGAACATTTCATTATTGCATTTCAGTATTGTTCAAAAAGGCCCCTGCCATGAAAATCTTAATTGGAACTGAGTTAAAAAAGTATCTCATTAAATAATCCAGTATTTAAAGCACCACATGAACCTATAAAAATTGAACATTTTGATATTTATAATATGTTGTGAAGTATATGTGTAGAGAACAAGTCAATGATAATTGAAACTATTAGTGAATAAATTTATAAATAAAATGTTGCAATATAATGAGCTTGTTGTTGCACCCATATGAATTATTCATCATTTACTTAAATGCTGCCATTATGATAATGAAAAAAAAACTTCCTTCAAAGTTGAAGCAATACATCTTTACTGGCTTAGACCTACTATAGACCACTGTATTGTATACAGAGCTGACACAGTATTCTCTTAGATGACTTGGGCATTTAAACTGAAATGTTCAAGGATTAATTGGTACCTCAAGTACTTGTGAAAGTTTTTAGCTCGACTATTCCAGAAGAATAAGTAAAGCTATTTATGTAGTCACCCGAGTGTCAGCGTTGGTGTCTGCGTTACCACTTATGTTAAAGTTTTTGTAATACCTTAAATATTTTCAAAGTCCATTGACATATGGCTTTGCAACTATGCACACTTGTTCACCATTATGACCCCAACCTGACAGGAGGAGGTAACTGTATCAAGCATTTTAACAGATTATGCCCCTTTTTCAAATTAAAATGTATTTTTAGGTTTGCGTACAACCTCAGAATTTTCATATTCTATTGAAACAAGTTGAAATTTTATAGTATTCTTTGAGAGCATAATAGGACTCTCTCCAAGGCCTATAACTGTAACATGGATTTAATGAAAACTTTTGTCCTTTTGTTATTAACTCAGAAATTTTTACATTATCAAGGCTCTTTACTATCGAGCACTAAGAATAGTCGAGCGTTGCTATCCTACCGACAGCTCTAGTTCTGCTGTTTGACTCAATAATGGCCCTTGAATAGAAAAAAGATGTTTTAGCCTGTTGATGATTTTTGTTTTTGTGTCTCTTGCTGCGCAGAAGGTGCAAATATTCTACACAGTATTCCTGAAATATAGGGTGTTCATTTGCCCCACAATACAACTGCTAACATGGCTATTATAAGGCTACACATGTGATCACTAATCACTCATTTTAATGTAATGTAGCTTAAACATTACATGCTCATGGACTAGTTGATATGATTGCTTTTTGTCAGTTATCTGTCATACACCCAAATTCACTGTGTTTATCATGAGTTACAATTATCTTTTGTCCAATTAGCATTGAATTCACTCCAATTGTAATATTTTAACTTCTAGGCTTTTCTTCTATATAACATATAGTGAGGCATTACCTCAAATTGAAGAGTAGTCATAAATAAATTGTATTACTGTCTATAGCATTGAAACCTGAAGGGATGTATATTAAAATCTCATACTGTTAAATTATTTACCCCAGGGTAAAAGTCTTTGTCTGTCTGTATGTCACAAATTTTTGTCCTGAGCATAACTTGATAGTTAAACAACATATTGACATGAAACCTACTGGGTATATTTTAAAAAAATAATATATGACAAATGGAAGTTATTTCCCTGCATTTAATGTCTTAATTTCAGTGCATACCACTCCAACAAATGATGACCGTGAAAATTAAAGTGTAAGCAAATGTCATGTAAGACAAATACAGGAACTGTCTGGTTGCTGTCTTTAATTGTCTCCCTTTCTTTATTTTTTTTATTTCAAATTGTATACCTCTTAAACTAGGAATGTTATTGTCTTGAAACTTATGAGTATTATTAAAAGACAGCTAGAGGAACTTATACTAATAAAAAGAACCAGAATTGCAAACAAATGTACATCACATTATACCCAAGTATTATCTGGCTTTTTGTATGGATAATTTATTTGCCGGATTGCATTTGATATGTAAATTGTAATGTAATTGAATCAAGTAAATTTTGTATAATCAATCTTTTTCAAAACCAATCTTAAAAGAACACCTAGTTATATTTTCTAGTTATACAAAGTAGAATGTGACTGATAGGGATTGTCTCTTAATAGAGAGTTAAATAGTTTATGTAACTGTTATATTTTAACTAAAATCTGTGCTTACTGAACTTAAGATTACATTTTATTTTTTAAAACCTTAAACAGAAATGACAAACCGCCTAACTTCAATAGACACAATGCCTAATTTAGAGGTTCTAAATAGGTACAGGCTTGACAAAGGTGGAATAAGGTATTTGGAGCAGTTATTGTATAACAAGATTCAACCCCTGGCCAGGAGAAATAACAGTTTGTCTGTCAGAGACAAGATTTTGGTAACTCTGAGGTACTTGGCCACCGGACCCATTCAGCTTAATGATGCTGACATACATGGTGTAAGTCAGCCTACAGTTAGCAGAGTTGTGACTGAGGTAGTCTCAGCTTTAAGCAGTCCAGACATTGTTGGACAATTTATCAAATTCCCTTGCACCAGAGAGGAACTGATTAAAAATCAACAAGAATTTTATGGCATTGCCAAATTCCCTAAAGTTGTAGGTGTGATTGACGGCACACACATAAGAATACAGGCACCTGCAAATAATGAAGAGCTGTATGTTAACCGGAAAGGCTTTCATTCCTTGAATGTTCAGCTAGCATTTGATCCCTTTGATCAGATCATAGATGTAGTGTGTAAATGGCCTGGATCTGTTCATGACAGCAGAATACTACAGCAAAGTGGCTTAACAACAGTATTTGAAGGAGGACACATGCCAGTGGGACAGTACCATCTGCTGGGAGATTCAGGCTATCCATGTAAGAAATGGTTGCTCACACCATTTATAAATCCCCAAACTAGTGGTGAAATTGGATACAACAGGTAAATAAACTAGATTATAAGTATACATGTTATAATAGTTAATCTATAATAACTTTTTTATTTAAGTCAGAAATATTATTCAATGTAATTCAATTTCTTTAAATACAATTATTAAAGAATTCAGAACATCTAACTAATATATATATTTGTACAATACATTTAACAGTAAAGTTAATTAACAAACATATAATAGAAAGAATTTGACATTAAAGGCCCATTAAGCCTTTGATATAATATTTCATCATTATCAACATACAAGTTTTGAACTTACTGAAAAATTTGGCAAACTATGCAGGAGTCATAAAATTACAAGGGCCAAAGTAGAACGTGGAATTGGACAGCTGAAGCGGAGATTTGGAGTTTTGCATCGAGAAGTGTCATTAAAGCCTGAAAAAGTTTGCAAGTAAAAACATTTATTTTTCTTATTATTCTTCATATAAAACCCCAAACAGCTGGTTCTAGTATAAATCATGTCCAAAAAAATATACAAGGGCAAAATTGTCGACAAATACACCCTTAAAAGTTTTGACAGAGATATGGGCATAAAAGAAATGTAGTATATATGCTCTTGGCAATATCCGGAAAATTCCTGGATATTTCATCATCTCTAGTGACATTTACCTTGCAAATATTAACCTAAATTGCATGTGTACCACTTATGGTCATGATAATTAGCATTTGTGTTACAATCCATCAATAAATGATGACTAAATGCTCCCCAAACAAAATTTGACCTCTCTATGTGACCTTGACTTTTGGTAGCAGGGACCTGGATTATTATCGGTAAACTTGTGATTTATTGTGTTTAGATAAATCAAATATGATTGTCAATTAATTTGTTTCAAGAAGTGGCCCATTAATATTAGAACAAATTCATAGAAATAATGATTCAATGTGCATTTAAAAAACAAATATTTAATATGAAATACCAATATTGCTACAACTAAGAAATGCCAAAATGTATCTTTGAATTTTGAATATAATAAGTCATATGACACCTTATATATACCTTACAGACACATAAAGTAAATGTCCCAAAAGTTCTTAAATGCAAGTTTTTTTATAATAAAGTACATTATGTGCATGTATGACATTTTCATTAATTTACAAGTTCATCATAGCATTGTGTGCATATGTTTAAATGTATTTTATATGGAATTGTTTGCACTTTTGTATTTATAGAGTAGTACTAGCATGTGCAGTGTTACATAACATTTGCAAGAGGCTAAACATTCAAATGCCATTACAAGATGATGATGATGATGACAATGATGATAACAGTAATGCTCAAGACAATACAATCAATGGAAACAATGCTGCTTTTCAGAATGGTCTAAGATTCAGAGATCATATAGTACAGACATACTTTTGATGATAAGTAAGTAAATGTTATTGTATAATTCAAAATGAAAAACTCAAAAATGAAGTTCATTTGCTCAAACTAATAAACAGACATAATATTATGCTTTTAAATCCAAGTGCTTCTTGATTCCTTTTTGATGGACATATAAATTGTGCCTGTTGGTATACAAGTAATTGTAAGTTCCAGGCAAAGTGACAATTTTTCTAAGTTAGTAATATATCTATATTTAGCAGCTAATAAAGTTTACTAGAACAAACATAAAATGTTATTCACTTATATGTCTGTAAAAACATTGTTTAAGCTAATTTGAAACATTTCATTATTTCATGCTTTCCAGTGTTTTATTGTAATATATCAGATGATTATATTCTGATTAATCACTAGTGAAATTTATAAAATATAATTTTCACTGTAGCCGGACTATATCTGAATGAACAAGTTTTGTGACAGACAGACAGACAGACAGACAGATGGACAGTGCACAACTAGACTTGGTACTGATCATTCCTGTAAAGTTTGGATCAAATTGCACCATTAGTTTATGAGGAGTAGTCCGGACAAGCTTTTGTGTATCTGGCAACACACAGAAATAACACCTTTTTATCAAAGGGCCATAACTCGACCAAAAACCATTCAACCGGAAAACCAGTGCAATATGCGCAAGGACTTGAGCTACAAATCAATCCTGTAAAGTTTCATTGAAATTGCATAAGTGGTATAAGAAAAGTAGCCCAGACAAATTAAAAAAAAATTATTAAAGGGCCATAACTCTGACAAAATTCATTGAACTGGAAAATGCTGACAATATGCACAACTAGACTTGGTACTGATCATTCCTGTAAAGTTTGGATGAAATTGCACCAGTAGTTTATGAGGAGTAGTCCGGACAAGTTTTGTAACAGACAGACAGACGGACAGAGTGAGACAGACAGACAACGGAGAAGTGATCCCTATATGTCGCCACTACTCTGTAGAGGCGACACAAAAACCAGCATTCATTGTTCAATTTTTGAAAAATACTGAATTTGAAGTTCAAGTTTCTTTCTTTTCAGTTGTCTCATACTTGAACAGTCTAAACATTGGCACTTTGCGCAAGATGTTGATGTTGATGGAAGACTTCTTTTTGATGTTTTCAGCCCCACTAGATCTACCTCACTGTCATGATCCGATAACATAATTTCTGTTATACTGTAAATAATGAATCAGTTTAGTGGAAAGTGAAAATGTACTGAGTAAAATGTTATTTTTCAGTACACAATAAAATATTATTTAAGGAAAGCAGATGTTTCTTTTTAATTCAGATATAAGCATTGTCCAACAGAGAACAAACAGCATTTAATATCAAAAGTTAACACAAACTGAAAAATAGTTTATGATAATTATGAGATAACAGGCAAAGACATATCTCATATTTTCTCAATTAAGTATTACAAAATCAATAATTTAAAAGTAAATTTTACATGTCAATATCCTCTGTTGTTTTGGTGTTGTCTGTGGTCTTCTGTGTCAGTCTGGACAAAAAACAGAAAAAATAGATAGTAATAGAAATGAAATCTTGTGAAAATAGATTTTGTAACATTAAACTCAAACATGACTACAATATATTTCTATGAATCACTGAAGAAAACAATGTTTGTACACATTTTATTTCATAGAAATGATAAAGGATAAATGATAACCTTTATGAAAAGCTGATATTTTTTTGAATTCCAGATAAGCATTGTTGATGTAATCAAAAGAGACCATTAATTCAAGTTCATTACAAGATAATAGGCTTAGACACATCCAACATTTTTGTATAAAGTATTGCAAAATCAGTAATTGAAAATTAAAATTGTTACATGTCAATAGCCTGTTAAAACACAATAAATATGAATGTTTTAGAATTTAAATATAATAAAACTGCTTCAGATGAACTGTTATTTTGAAATGAACTATCACCTGCTAGGTCTAGAACTTTCAGTGTACATTTGTACATACATGTACAGCATATGTGTTATCTTGTATGCTGTATAAAAACAGACTGGCTTTATCAAATTATCATACACAAAATATACCTTTATCGGTTTATACAATTTTGTGATGTAAATAAGTATTTTCTATGCATCAAAGAATTGGGTTTAACTGACATGATTATGATGTTCTTAAATTCTGAATTTTGATAACACAATTTTCTGACAGCTAATGGAAAAAGTTTTATAAAATGTCTGTATTGTTACATAATATTATGAAACAAAACAAACTGTATACAACTATTCATTTATAGGTTAAGTGTTTACTGTGTTAAATGATTAATAAAATGATACCTTTCTAACATCATCAAGGAAGAATCATAATGTGTAGAACCAGGAATTCCTACTGTATTTACTGAATTCCTCCCAATTACATCCATCACTGCCTCAGTAATTGCAGACATTTTTCCTGGTTGTGGACCACCACCTGAAAGATAAAAAAGTTAGGCTATAACTTAGATAAAGTGAATATATGCATCATGTTATCATTATTATTGACATTGATTGTTAATATTGATGTAAAGGAATTTCTTAATTTAAATGATACATTTTTAAAAAAAGATTGAATACTATACCTACATGTAGTTGGTGCTAGTGGGCCAATGTGGTTCCATTTCTTATTTATACTTGTAATAATGATAAGATTATCCAAGATTATCCAAGTAACAGATTGAATATAGAAAAGCCTCAAACACCTACAACACATAATATAAACATTTGCTTTACTCATGCTTGAATATTAAAAAAATTGTATGTTACCTGTAGCAGACTGTTCCCTCTGGAAGTCCTGATACTTTAACCTGTGTGTTTGTACAAGGTTGTCCCATTTTTTAACAATGTCCTCTGTCTTCCTTGGAACTTCTGCCACAGTATTAAAGTTCTCAGTTATTTTGGTCCAGTTTATTTTCTTTGTTGATGATGTTATGCCTGAGCAAAAAAGGAAATGCATATTGATGAGCGATAAAATATAATGCTTGGGTTTCCATACACTTTAAAGATATACTATGCTCATCTGTAGGTAAGATATTTTAACCTTAGAAATGTATTGAAATTCATGAAATTCTTACTGAATATGTTAAAAATTGATAAAATAATGAATATACTACACTGTAATACTATGTATGGGAAACTGCATTCCCTATTACATGTCAAATGAAGTTGATCTTTTCTTAAAAAACTGCCAGTTTTTTTAATGACACTATATATATATATATTCATATTGTGACCTCCTATAGTGTGACGAGTTCAAAACATAACATATCTACTTTAAATGAAGTCGAAACATTTTTATTTTATACATTCAAAGAGACTGTGTAGCAATTATTGATATTTTTAAAATTCAAATTTGAGCATGCTAACATGCTAACTTTTATAACAACATATATACAGAGTCTCTCTTAAATGTGAAAACACTGTGGATATAGTTTCTATCAGCCAGGTAGACAATCAAATACAAAGTGAATCAAATTTAAATTTCAATAGTATATGTTGGTTAACAGGAACTTGAAAGTTCATATCAACAATTACAGTAATCTTTAAGTTTCTAGAAAAAAACATCCTCCATACATGTATATTTATATAAAGGGATATATTAGTCTAGCACTGTGGAATTTTAATATATACAAGGATTCAATATTAAAGCATACAAATGAATAAATGCACCTTTTTTAAGTTATCATATTTTTATCCAATTTTATTACCCTGCCTCCTTATTTTAATAGTATCTCTTATCTATGTCTACTATCCCACACATTGTAGTTTTTGCGTTTTTGCAACAAAATGTCATAAAAAGAGAAAAATTCACCACAGATGAGTGCATTTAGATAGTACTAAATGGTTAATAAAAGTATAAGTTTTTGCTGTGTTTATAATTCTGTACTGGTTGGGGACCACCAAATGCAGACAACCACCAAACCCTGACAGCCAAGATAATTCCTGATATATTTTTGTTTTGTTCAGTGGTTGTCGATCAATCACTGTCACTTTATATCAACAACAAAAGCATGTTTCTTCTATTATTAAGTGTTAAAGTTTATTTCAACATAACAATAATCGGAGACAGTGAGTTTAAAATACATCGTTAGTCCAAGATCGAAGAAAGAATTGTAAACAAGCTGGTTATCTCCCTTCAACTCCCGCCATCTGTCAAACGTAACATTTCATGGTAATATTGGCAAAATACTTACTGCTGGTGAACTTATGGCGAACGTACTGGTAATTCGTCAGTGTTTTATTTAAGTTTGATGACTGCCCCATAATGTTTGCCAGCAATAAGCAGTCATTCGCCGAAAAATTGGCGTTTCGGCGTTTCTTTACGTCTGCTGCCTCCGCCATGTTGAATGAGACGCTGCGCGCGCATAATTCTCATTTCCGTTACTATTTTAAGCGATGGAAAAACCAGAATAGCCTGGCAACGTACTTAAGAATTTTCTCAAACGAAATAAGAAAATTTTTAACCTTAAGAAAAATTTTAGCTAAGAAATTACTTAAGTAGCTTTTTAAGTACTATTTAAGGATAAGAAAGATCTTATCTTTAGTTAAGGAAAATATCGCGTAAGGATAAGAAAAATCTTAAGATGTATATTGAATACGGGCCCAGAATTTAAATGCATTTTACACAAATACTTATGATTTATATACATTGTATTTGCAAACCAATCCTTGGCAATGGGTAAATATTTTAAAATATTTTACCAATGTTTAACTGCACTTACTTAATTTTTGTATGAAATTTTTTTAAAAAAGACATTCTAAAATAAAATGAACATTAAGACACTGAAAAAACACAATGTTGTTTATCATTTTGTCACCAAGGTCCGACTATCCATATTGTCGACAACACTACACATGTACATATTGCCTAGCCCATGTACACTACTGAAATTATATCTTCTGTAACTTTTGTTGCCGGTGATGTTGATCCCTTTAACCTTCTCTTCTCACAGACACATTGTTTCGCATCTGCAAAAATCGTGACAACATAATATGATAATTAAAAAGCAAACTTTGCATTCTTCTTTTAGAATGAAACAATTTTATGTCCGATTGAAAATTTAGGTACTATAGTGTGAAGCAAACTAGGATTGTGTTTTTAGAATTATACGTCTACATGTATATTAAATTGTCTACAAATAATTCATACATTAATGAGGTACTTTAAGCCTCAACAATGAATACAGTTTTTTTTTAGAAAATATATATCATGTAATCATAATGCATGTAATATTGTTAATCATAACGATTTTAAGTGCGTAAATTGCCTATCACCCAAAAGAAACCCTGACAGTGAAATATTATAATGTGTCATATAGGTAGGAACAATGAACAAAATGGCACCTAAACTTCCATACTGTTAGTATTTCTACTTCGTTAATTCGACATGATAATAAAATACCCAAATAACTATTCTTGATTTCCTCGTTTCATCGTTTATTTGTTGATAATGTTTCTAAAATTAATACTTAAAGCTGCATTAAATAAATTTCATAAAAACAGAAAAAGCGACATTTCATCAATAAATTGGGTTTCATATCGACTCCAGATCTTATTTTGGTGTCCAGACAAAATGAGTTTTATAAGCAAAAAAATGCAAACATGGCTATTAGAAGTAGTCATTATTTAACGGAATATTTCTGCATTGTAACGAATGTTTTCATAGAAATTTAATCTTTTTCGTGTGATGACTACTTTTTTTTCTGAACACCAGGCCTAATGCACCGTGAAGCTTAAACGGTTTGAGTGTGTTTGCACAAGAAAATCCCATAATTGTTGTGTTTCAGATAACAACTATAACACTGTGACGTACTGCATACACGAGCTGATTATAGTCTTTATTTGCATGTTACAATTCGTATACCAACTTGAGAGTTACCGTGGGGTTTTCCGTTTAAAATCATAATTTATGAACAATATTTGATGAAATTTACAACAAACTGTTTAAAAGGTTAATAAAACAATAGAATGCTTGGTTATTAGGCCGACGGCAAAATGATTTTACATCTTTATTTAATGCAGCCTTAAATTTACAGTCAGTGTTTTTCTTTCTCACATATGTTTGACTAGTCACTATATATTTTTTTCTCCCAAAATAACATGTTAACTCTCAAAACTCTACTATCTTGACTCTCACTCTTGAATCCCCTTAGAAAATCTTGTACCAGTCAGTATTTACTCTCTCAATATTTGGAGGTTACCCTAGTGTTATATGACAAACATAAGCCTTCTATATTTATGACGACAATTGTTACTAAAATCAAACCGACTGATTCCTGGAATATTTATAATGGTAACCGATTAAACAGTTATTGCAGGCCTCTTGACCAGAATTTATGAAGATAATCGTTGACAGGGTTACCATACTAAAATTTCACAGACTGATACACAATCTAGCCCCACAGATTTATCATAATAAATAATGACAACAAATGAGGTCTCAATTCCCATACAAACTTAATCATTAAATCAAACCTTAACCAGGTTAAAAATATTGACTGTTTTTCTTTGATATACCTGTTTATGTGTTTTTAAAAAATTCTTGACCTTTTCAAACAGAGCCCATTTAGCCTCTCTCAACTTGGAAATGGAAAACTCTTGCCACATCCAAACAACGGATTGATTTATGTTCGACAAAATGTATGAGGCAGGGCTTCAGGCTGTTATCTCTCGCTAAATATTGTCTTCTGCAATCAACCGTCTCATTTTATGTTTAGCCCTTCCTCTGAAAATAAGGTAAACATTATTATAAAGATTGTATTAAAATGATAGGGAAACACTTAAGATAATGTTGGTATGAGCAAACCCTTTTGTATGTACATTTATTATACCGTTAATCATGCTGTAAGATAATGATGTGAATTTGTCTTGATATATCAATTTCTGTTGTGTTAACCCACCTGAAAGACACCCAGTTGTTTTGTTTTCATTCTTTCAATAAGATATAAATGTATCTAAAAAGTCATTTTTCACTCACGTCCCATCTCCCTTTGTGTAGAAGTCATGTGCCCATCGATGCATCTTCTAGCCAATTATGCAACAACTGTTCTATAAATGTTGAAAACAACAATGAAAACATTAATTAATTATACATTACAACTGGATCTAGTATCATAAGGGTAGATTATCAAGCTAAACAGCATTTGGAAAAAAAATCGAAACAAATTTAATATGTTTGAAAAAGAATAAAATGGTTCAAGATGGGTAAAGATTAGATTAAAATCTATTTAAAATGCAATTTTAAGTCTGGTCTGTTAACAACTCATTTTATTTTCCTCACCGAATATGTCATCCTAGTATTTCAGTAAATTTTGTGTTTTAAAAGCCATTTTGGTAAGTGAAAACTATTGCAATAAAATTAGACTAGTCCAAATTGCCTAGATTGGAAGAATAAAAAATAGTTAAAAACATAAGATATAAAACTTTGTAGAGAAGTATAAGTAGTGTATAAAGTACCTTGATTAAGTAATAAAGAACACTCTGTTTGGATACGCTTTCCATATTCATGTAACATGCTGAAATATAAACATTTTGCTTAGAAATGCATTAATAGGTATTGCAATATACGTTTTGTTCACATGAAGTTAACATTATTTGATTTAATTATGATTTCCACCATTCATAAAACATGCCAACTCTTTGAAATAAGTTAAATTTAACATTGAAAAATAAACCCTATATTTTCGTGATTTTGGTCACAATACGCTTCCGTAGAAAAGAAAAATTACAGAACTTTTGAATTTACATTTTTTAAAATACACAGTAAAAATGTATGGTTATTTCTGTTTCATTTAAGATAACTGTACAAAAGAAAACAAAGTATGACAGTGAGTAAAAGATAAACACTCTTTTAATGATTACTTCATTTAAAATTGTGTTTAAAATCGCGAAATTATATGACACCTTTTGTCATCTGCATAATCGATTAGTTTGTGGTCAATTCTATTTATCTACAAACATATTTTTTTCTTAAAATGTATACAGCTGCACATAAAAGTGACTAAAATTACTCACCTTTGCTTTTGGAATGCGGGAATTGAAGATACTTCAGATCTTTCAACGAAAATATAATAAACGTGACGTCACCAGAAGTGCATAACATCAAAGTATGGTGTAATTTAAGAGACACTTTTGCATATCGATTTTTTCTAAACTTTATGATCGATTTTTCAGGATTCTGCAAGGAGTTTTTTTGAGGACTTTTTTTCTCAAAATGTAGATTACGTTTATCATTTATTTAATCGTGAAAACATTTGTGAAGGAATTAGTTTTACCTTTTTTTTTATTATGACTGGCCTATATTGATATATAACAGTACAGTTTTTTCATTGATACATATAGGGAAAAAACTCGACTGCTATATATCGGTCGAGTTTTTTTCGCACCTTGTATATATCAATGCAGTTTTTTTTCATAGAGGCTACAATGGGGCAGTGGTAACGACCATTCCCAGTAGCATAAAAAATGAAATCATAAAATAAAATAAAATAAATAATTATATAAATACAATGAAAAATATAAACAAAGATAATTAATGAAATGAAATGTACTCTCATTTAATCAAAAGGTACATCCGCTGAATGAATTATTTCCCCTGAAAAAAAATGCACCTAATCTTGAATCAATCTTGGTAACAGTATACAATCCGCCTCTAATATTGGATGTCTTTTGTTTATATTTCTTTTTGCAGCAGCGAAAACAGCTTGAAAAAAATGCCTTATCACAAATAACTGTAATGTAGCTAACGATTTATTTATTTATTTGTTTCTATTACAAAACAAGAGCCGGTTGAACCGGGTGATGCTCCCCGAATAGGTTTTGGACACAGGAAAGTATACCTCTTGCTGTGTCAGAGGTATGCCACAGACAAAGTTCAAACTGAAAAAACAACCCAAATATTGTGCACAACACATTGTCTCAATATGGTGATCATTCCTGTGAAAAAGTTTTAAAATCCGGCTTCAAATAACAAAATAATGGGCCGGACACGATTTTGCTGCAAGGTCATGCTGTGACCTTGACCTTCAAGGTAGCGACCCAAATGTTGCGCGCGACACATCATCTCAATATGGTGATCATTTCTGTGAAATATTTTTAAAATCCGACTTCAAATGATGAAGTTATGGACCGGACACGATTTTGCTGCAAGGTCAAGCTGTGACCTTGACCTTCAAGGAAGCGACCCAGAAGTTGCGCGCGACACATCGTCTCAATATGGTGATCATTTCTGTGAAATATTTTTAAAATCCGACTTCAAATAATGAAGTTATGGACCGGACACGATTTTGCTGCAAGGTCAAGCTGTGACCTTGACCTTCAAAGAAGCGACCTAGATGTTGCGCGCAACACATCGTCTCAATATGGTGATCATTTCTGTGAAATATTTTTAAAATCCGACTTCAAATAACAAAGTTATGGACCGGACACAATTTTGCTGCAAGGTCATGCTGTGACCTTGACCTCCAAGGTAGCGACCCAAATGTTGCGCGCTACACATCATCTCAATATGGTGATCATTTCTGTGAAATATTTTTAAAATCTGACTTCAAATAATTAAGTTATGGACCGGACAAAATTTTGCTGCAAGGTCAAGCTGTGACCTTGACCTTCAAGGAAGCGACCCAGAAGTTGCGCGCGACACATCGTCTCAATATGGTGATCATTTCTGTGAAATATTTTTAAAATCCGACTTCAAATAATGAAGTTATGGACCGGACACGATTTTGCTGCAAGGTCAAGCTGTGACCTTGACCTTTAAGGAAGCGACCCAGATGTTGCGCGCGACACATCGTCTCAATATGGTGATCATTTCTGTGAAATATTTTAAAAATCCGACTTCAAGTAACAAAGTTATGGACCGGACACGATTTTGCTGCTAGGTCATGCTGTGACCTTGACCTTCAAGGTAGCGACCCAAATGTTGCGCGCTACACATCATCTCAATATGGTGATCATTTCTGTGAAATATTTTTAAAATCTGACTTCAAATAATTAAGTTATGGACCGGACAAAATTTTGCTGCAAGGTCAAGCTGTGACCTTGACCTTCAAAGAAGCGACCCAGAAGTTGCGCGCGACACATCGTCTCAATATGGTGATCATTTCTGTGAAATATTTTTAAAATCCGACTTCAAATAACAAAGTTATGGACCGGACACGATTTTGCTGCAAGGTCATGATGTGACCTTGACCTTCAAGGTAGCGACCCAAATGTTGCGCGCGACACGTCGTCTCAATATGGTGATCATTTCTGTGAAAAAGTTTTAAAATCCGACTTCAAATAACAAAGTAATGGGCCGGACACGATTTTCCTGCAAGGTCGTGCTGTGACCTTGACCTTCAAGGTAGCAACCCAAATGTTGCGCGCGACACATCGTCTCAATATGGTGATCATTTCTGTGAAATATTTTTAAAATCCGACTTCAAATAATGAAGTTATGGACCGGACACGATTTTGCTGCAAGGTCATGCTGTGACCTTGACCTTCAAGGTAGCGACCCAAATGTTGTGCGCGACACGTCGTCTCAATATGGCGATCATTTCTGTGAAATAGTTTTAAAATCCGACTTCAAATAACAAAGTTATAGGCCGGACACGAATTCGGGACGTACGTACGTACGTACGGACGGACGGACGGACAACCCGACGACTATATGCTCCCCCGAAATTTTTCGGGGAGCATAAAAAGAAAACATTATGTCATTGCGATAAAACAGTTATAGTATATGAAACTCGATAGTTACTGGGGTTTAACACTGGCTGGGGCGATATCTCGGGATGTTTCTGAAAAAAAAAATTGTCTCGGCCTAAAGGCCTCGCCATTTTTTAGCAGAAACACCCTTGGTGTCGCCCCAGCCAGTGTTATATCCTCGTAACTAACTCGTTTCATGTACTATAACCATTACGTAGCAAGCAAGGGGGTTCGTAACCGTTCTTCTTTGATAATGAAATTAAATAAAAAAGTTATTTTTTTCGTTTTTCGTGAAATATGGTATATATATTTTCACGAAACATGATAGAATGCCACATATTTTCACTCTCCGTCCTCTTAATCTCTGAAGTAGCGTTAGTGTATTAAGTAAACTGCGAAGGGAGCGTACTAAATATGACATTTCTATCGTTATCCCTTTCACTGTCGTTACAATAAGTAAACCCCGGAAAAATGAACCAATCAATGGACATGCTTTCGAGTGCGGGTAACTAAAACTGCACTCCAGTTAACGCACTATGACTGTATATGTATACGACTGAAGTCTGACATATTTTCAACAGAAAGGTCTCCAAACTATGATACAAGACTAGACTGAATTTGTGTTCTCGGTATGGTAATATAACACAGCGACATTAAAAACTAAGATTTTCTTGCACCTCAGACAGGATTATCTACCGTTTACACCGGTGCTAGAAAACTCTGTCTTACACTCCCTATGTAAGACAAGTCCCGTGCTTTAAATGACGTCATTGACGCGCGACTTTAATGAATGAATCGCGTTCTTAGGATGACGTCATTTTTCCGTTATGAATGAAGTTGTATGTTCATACGCTACTATAAGAAAAAAGTGCGTAATGAGAATATCCGTTTTCATAATTTCTGTTCCAAAAGAAATTGACATGTAATATGCAAGAAAAGAATCAAACACCGGCTGTTGGTACAGGCGGGAATATCTAGCTCTCGGGAAACTGTTTAGCGGAAACTCGACAGAGCCTCGTTACCGCTCTAAACAGTTACCCTCGAGCTAGATATTTCGGTCTGTACCGGCAGCCGGTGTAAGATTCTTATAGTTTTTCATATTTAATCTTACGGGAATTTCTTTTTGTCTTTTTAAGTCCCAGGTTGAACGTAAACTATTCTACCAAAGGAATTACAATGGAAGGAAAATGGAAGCGCAACTCGAACATCTCTTTGCATAAATAATCATATTATGTAATAATAATGTTAACTAAACTAAAGAAACACGTTTTCTGATGTCAAATTGCTGTGCTCTATGGAAAAATGAGTTCTGTCAAGTAAACCCTCATTATACATAATAATTGTATCGGGACAAACGCACTGCGTTATGTACGATCAAATCGACCGCCGTCTGCGTTGTAAACAATTTTTGTCAATTCTTCTATAAAAATGGTAATAACAATTATAAAAGTTCCAAAATATGGTTGTTTTGTGTATTTATCATATATTCTTTGTAATGTTGGCGTATTTAGTGGTCGTTTTGCACACAAGTGTACGTGATTTAACCAAAATTAGGCAAAAGTGGCGTCCCCTTATCAAACTGTACATAAGTGATTGCGCAAATGGCAATGAATTTCACCGTGTGCGTATAATTAGTTGGTAAAGTACATATGTGGGCTTCAGTCTCACTAGCTTTTTTTCCAGTAAAACATTAAAGCATAAAGCAGAATTCAGTCGTAAACTTACCGACAAAACCAAACGGCCATATTTTATCCACCGTTTCTGCGATGAAATTTCTACCGCGGCTTCGATGGACCCACCGATTCTGTGAAAGCTCTGGCCAGTGTGGTTATTATGTTCTTGGTTTACAATTGTATAAATCATTTAACTATTCTTCGTAATAGTCTTATCGTCATTTTTTTACAATTTAACAGTCCCGTTCAAACTTGGTTATGCGTTATATGTTTTTTTAAATAATGACAATTTTGTTCTTAGTTGTATTTTTTTTTATTTTCTCGTAAGTATGATACATTATTATGCAGCAAAATTATATTAATATAAGACATATAATTATAGAGGATATTGAATGAGTGTAGTTTAATACTTAATTTATTCAACGAGTTCAATAAATTTAGTATTGAATCTACACGAATATAATATTCTATTTATCACATGTATCATGTATATAGAATAAGATCAGTAAACTGTTAAAATGAGTACACTGTAAAAACGGGCGTTTAAGTTTTAAACACATTTCGAAACACTTTTCCTGTTACACTTTGGAAACACCATAGAATGGAACACGTCACATGTTCCCGAATACACGCACAAATGTTCCAGTTTTAAACGCTTCCTGGTGTTTCAAACTGAAACACGTGACATGTTTCATAGCAGAACACTTATAATGTTACAGTTTGGGAACACTTGAACATGTACAGTAAACACGTTTGGTGTTTCAAACTGGAACTTGCAACATGTTTCCAAACCCACGTGTGCTGTTTTCAAAGCGTTCCTGATAAACATGTCACATATTTCAATTTCAAATGCATTACGTGTTTACTGTATATGTTCAGGTAAGATCAAAACAACTAAGGAAATACATGTACAGCATATTGTAACTACAAAAAATGCTAATGAAGTATTTTTGGAATTTATTTATTATAACATTATACAGTTTTTTTCATTTTTAATTAAACATAATTCAAGAATACAACTTTGCTAAACACAAGCATGAAATGAGCTGTTAGAGCGACAACATGCCTGCACAATTCTCAATGCATTTACTTCAAAATGAGGCATAATTACCTTGAATGGGTATTGGTAAATAATATTTTCGTATGTAACACATGTACAAAGTTTCGGCTAAAATTCTATGACTGGAGATACAACTTTCACACAAAAAAATACATAATTTTATATATGCAGAATTTTCTAAAAGGTACATCATTTAGTCAAAATGCAGAACAGAGTTATTGGTCTTTTTATGTGAACTTATATTTGCATACAAAAAATGTGTGAAGTTCCAAATAAATATCAGAAGTCCATGGTTGTCTTTCTTTGTCTAAAAAACTTAACATTGTGTCATGCAACATTAATGCTATAATCAGCTGCTAAGCTATTGCCTTACCATTTTTTAAATAATCAAGCTAAAAATTATGACATCATCAAACATCTGTTGCAAGAAATATGAAATTATTAATTTGTACTAAAATAGCCACATTTCTATTGGTTAAAATCATTCGCTTTTATAAAATATGTGTGTTTTTTCATGAAATCTTGTGCCATTTATATAAATGGATTGTGCAACAGTCATCCTCTGTAATTAGCATAGATGATCAGAAGCAATGTATTAATAATTCATGATCATCATTAAGTACAGTCTGTGATAAACATAAAATAAATAAATATAATTAAAAAGTATGTACTTACTAACTTTTAATTTACTTGCAAACCAAAAAAAAATCTACAGTTAATGAAACTATTTATCTTTGTAACAAAACATAGGATAAAACAATTATGGATTTACTAGTCATTAAATATGATGAGATGTTCACCCCTCAATAATGCCTTCAGCTTGCAAATATCACATTTAATTTATGAAATCAGTTCTTCAAAAATACTTATGATGAAGAGTGCGAATAGTTACATATTAAGGCATTATTATTAAGTTCAACTTTTCCTTTTATGATAGCTGGATCACTTAAGTCACATTGGCTTCTTTTCTTTTTTCTCCATTTCCGTGTTCATTCTCTTTAAATATTGAACAAATCCATAGCTCTTATGCCCATCAAACTGCTGCTTAAGTTCAGTTTGCTGAAGGAACCAAAGCACCTGTGTATACATACATATTTCATTCAGAGTAGCATATTAGCATAAGAAGTTAATCAAACCAATCAACACAGCTATGACCTCTATTGAATCGGCTGTCTTTAGAAGAATATGTGTACCATCACAAACAATAGCCATGTTCACAATACATTCATCTTTCTCAATTGCAACCAACTTTGGTGCCGACTCTGGCGCTGAAGAAAGAAGTCTCACAAGATTCCCATCATCTTCAACTGAAACAAATATCGATAATTTTTATACATCAGTTTTAAAAAACAACTGTTAGCATTTGTATACACCTTAGATATCATTCAATGTTAAAAGCATTTTAGCGTTATCATCAAGTGACAACTACCATGGAAATTATGTATTCTTTGTTAGAAAAGTTTACCTACATAAATCTGTTTTGAAATAAAACTCGCATTAATTATTTATCAAACAAGTGTGCATGCCAAATATGACATGCTGATAATTATGGAAATAAGATGTTAAGGTATATTCCCTACAAAGTTTTGATGTAAAATATGTACACAGATGTACAGACATGTCAATCACTGAATCACAGCTGGTCACATAAAAAAGAAGTTTTAGGACATTAAAAGATTTGAATATCTAACACCCTTACCTTACTTATTTGCATCAAATGCTGAGTCTTCTGGCCCTTTCCTTTTCTGTAAGCTGTTTCTGATTCTAAAGTCTTCAGCACTGCCACATTAGAGTCATCCTGAAAGCAAAATTATGAACTGACTAGGCTAACAGAAAGGTGCAAAACTTCAGATGAATAAGCCACGCCCATTTTTAACGGACTTTTTTCAATTGCTTATATTCTCATTTTCACCAGCATGTGAATTCTACAATGTAATCTCATACCCTTATACAAGTCCTGAATCAAGATGCGATATTTATTTATTTATTTATTATTTCAATTTCGATTTCAATTACGAATAAATTAGATAGCGAATAGTTTTAACACCAACTAAATGAAGTGACGTCATAATTTACATTGCAAATGACATCATCAATGTTCACGTCATGCTATACATGTAATCATAACAAACAGGCGATTTTCTTGTTAACTTTACTTTGCCGGCAAGCCTCGCCCTTACTAGTCCTTATCATCCTCGCCTGATAAAATTAATATCAAAAGACAGTAGCATGTTATTCTCTAGATTTATATGTTTTGATTAGATATTCTTGAAATACCAAAGTGGGTGGGGAATCAGTTTTATGGTTAATGAAAATGATTTTTTGCGCCCGTCTTAAAAAGATCTGCCTTTTTAACCTTTGAATTTGATCTACAAATACATAAGTACATCGTACTAACCTTTTGCTGTTGTTTTTCTATGTTTTCCTTGCTAAATTTACGCAAAAATGAAGAAAGGTAAACTTTGCGCCAAAAAATTCGACTGCAGCAGGAGAAAGGAAGTTAAATTCGTAACACCTCGGATAATATCAGAAGGTGTTCTTGATCGGCACTCATGACATACGCAGACTGTTCGCCCCTGAAACACCGGCGTTTAAGACAGAGACACTTTCGCATTAAATATTTCTTAACATTCGTATTGTCTTATCCTTACTGTTATGTTTCTGTTTACTGTTATGTTTCTGTTTTGTTTGTTATTAATAATCAAAACACGAGATGAGCTTATGACATAAAAGTAAACACAAACGTTTCATGTTTGCACACAGGCATGCCAATATTAACACCAACCGTTTAAACGCTGCACATTACTGTTTTAGTTATAAACACCCGTTCCATAAAGAAACGCATGTGTTTTTATACTGCACACAACGAGAACACATACGTTTTGTTAACAAACACCTGTGGAACGCGTCAGGCGTTACTATTTTTTACAGTGTAATCTTTCAATGACGCGCCTATAGTGTAATGCTAACATTAGCGCGCTTTAACGCTATGTTTATATATAGCGCAAATGACGTCACGTCAAAGTGTTATTAAACTAGTGTAATATCGTTTTTATTAAATGGCTTTATTACACTCCTGCGCCGCGGTTTATGTGATAAAATAGTCTATTTCATGTGCAATTTTCCAGCAATCAAGTTACAGAAGGAAAGAACGGAAGTTTGCGTCATTACAAGAGCTCATTTATCATCATACAGTCTATTACACCGACTTATACAGGCAGTGGATCAGCCGCAATTAACATGTGAAACACGTATTGGCCTACTTCGAGCTGCTCCGTTAAAGACTATACACTTGTGACGTTGTTAACGTCAAATTTTAAAGTTATACCGTGCGCCGGGTCGCTTTACATGTACATCGCATTAACGGCATAACATTTTCAGTTGTTAATGTTTCTTGTTGGTATTTTTCGTTTCATATAGAGGATGTGATTTATGTTCCGTGTATTTTTATGTAAATGCACCTTACATGATATCCCCACATATAGGTTCATATCGTGGTTAAATTATTAGGCATATGAAAATCCATTATTATACGATTGCATGTCCTGAAGACTTTAAAATCTATTTCAATTTTTACATATACACGTATAAGGAGGATTAATCATATGTCTTATTCACCGTGTATATCCAGTAACACCGGGATGTGAAAATAACGCACGATTCGTGCAATAAGTAACGCAGAATTGTGCAATAAATGGCGGATAGCTGACAGGATTTCCAAAGCGGTAAGTAAACTGGTCAACATATTTTTTATTTAATCGAACTGGAAAAAAGGAATAACCGCATACGGCTGCGGAGACCTCATAAAAACGACTTGAATCACATTTTATCAGCTTATTTCAATTTTCAATATCACCAAAAGTTTAGTAAAAGTCACTTACCTACCGAAAATCGAAATTATACGGTATAATATGCATTGCTGTACTTTTAAGAGCCGTCAAAAAGCCAAAATCTTGCTCAAAACGGTGGTCAAGTCATCATTTTCACGAATGATCCGTCATATATTGCACAATTTTGCCTTACTTATTGCACGAATCGTGCGTTATTTTCACACTCCGGCGTTACTGGATATACACGGTGTTATTTACAAGCGACAGTCACAGGGACGCTGATCATTTCCACTACACTAGTCTAGTTTAATCAGGATGATAACGCCTTATCAGAAATTCGTGCTTACTATATAGGCGGGGCTTAGTATGCTAAGTGTTCTGTCCCATGATTCAAATTATCGAATAATTTTTTTTCAGTAGATCTATACAATAATTTTTTTAATTATACAATATATATTTTCAATTCTAACACTCACGTGATTTTGTCACTATAGACAAAGAAGGAAAAAACTGGTGTTAAACTGCCAATAAACACCGGTTAGGGACTACTTGTATATGCGCTGTTATGTTTTCACCCTCGATTGTATACTTTACAAAGCATTTTAAAGCAACAATAAAAAACATTTTTATTTATATTTTCAGTTCGTATAATGTTTTCTTTTCATACAATACCGAAATAATATCTCACATACACTAACGCCACATATAAGATCCACATCAGTTAATAAATATTTTGACAAAACGGCGCCAATCCGTAAGCAGCGTAATGACGTCATCCTAAGTAAACAACTCATTCATAAACAAGCTGACTTATTTCATACAGACAAGAATGATAATTGGGCACTGATGTAAACACAATACGACGTAAGTTTTTATTGTTGAAAACTTGATAAAATAACGTTTTTTTTTTCTTATTATTTCTTTTGTTTAATAATTTCTATATCTTCGCAACAGTAGGGTGCGAAAATCGAACAGCGTTATAAAATCGGCACCGGAAGTTATTTCCGCTTGAAAAATAACATTAGTGATTTTCCTTATTTCATCGTGTTAGAATCGAAATAACATCGGCCTGAGAGGTGTATATCGGCTACTATTTAACACCGGTATTGTCGTTTTGATGCGACAAAATTAACCACTCAGGCCTACGGCCTTCGTGGTCAATGCTTACGCATCAAAACTCCAAACCGGTGTTAAATAGCCGATATACACCTGTCAGGCCGATGTTATTTCTTAAATATAGAACATACATAAATAGAGGATATTCAAGTTTTTTCTATAAATACATGATTTATTTTCAAATAAATATTTCATGAGTGGCGGTAGCCACGAGTGAAATATGGTAATTTTCATGCCACAAGATGAAAATAAATCTTGTATTTATACAAAAAACTTGAATTTTCTGTTTATTATATACATTTTTCTTTTTTTTTTTTTTACATTAAAATTTGAAAGACTTTCCCTTAAATTTTGTGTACTGGCAGAATTTAAAAGAAAGTAGTCCGGCAAGACACCAGTGAAAGAAAATACGGAAAATATGTTTCACTGCAGTGAAAAATAAATTTTTACAGTGAAAATATGGAAAATGAAAATACGCATTTTATTTCATCAATATTTCTCAATATTTCATTATTTTATAAGTATATAATAAAGAAACTTATCGCACACAAATATTTTTATGATGAACAAATATTCAGCAGGATTGAATAAATATATAGAGGATATTTCAAAACAGTGAAATTATCAAAGTGGTAATTTCACTGTTTCAAACAGTGAAATTACCAGTTTTAAATCACTGATATATTTCTATAAACCACCGAAAAGCATGTAATAAAATGGTATAGCATATAATATTTACAATGTATACAATATAAATATTGGATATAGAACAAAAATTTAATTTATTGAATATTGCAACGTTTAACATGCCATATTTATATATTACTGCGCGCTGTACAATTGCAGTTGATTTGCAAGCAAGGGGATTCGTAACCATTTTTTTAAATGAAATTAAATAAAAAGGTTACTTTTGCGCTTTTCGTGAAAGAATAAGATGGTTTATATTTCCACTCAACATGATAAAATGCCACATTTTTTTAATCGACGTTCCAGCTCTTGAATCATCTTTTATCATGTTTCGTGAAATTATATTCCATATTTCACTCAAACGAAAAAAGGTCATTTTAATATTTGATATATATGATTAATTCTATTTTATTAAATAATTGTAAGTCATAAACATTAATTTTGCCTTTTAAGTAAAAATATCGTCAAATATTTACGAAACAAATTTTCCACAGCTGCAAAAGAAGACGACCTCTCGCAAGGTTCTGTTTAAAGAAGCAAACCTGTATCCCTTGTTTTCATAAACAAAGACATTAGAAAAAAAGGTTACGTATAAGTGACTGAAGATATTGCAACAAAATAATGGATTACCTCTTTTCTTTCAAATCTGAACTTTTTAACTGCTCCATTTTCCATCATGTGAACATACTTAATATGCGGAACGTGATGATTTCTTTTTAGATTTTGAAAATGTTCATGCAATTCATCTGTTGACACGTCAACATCTAATTGGTCAGGAAACTGGTCGATATACCTTCTTTGTCTTTTATCTGTAGCTACGACCTTCACCTTAACTGAAAATTAATACTAAAAGTCTTGGATGTACAATCAATCTATGGCACAATGGGCACATTTTCCATAAGTATTTCTTACAAATATTAATAAAAACAATAAATGTATCATTTTGATTAAATATATAGAGGATATTTGTGTGTTTTGCCTGTAAGATTGAAATATAATTTCACTGAGTGAACACCAGATGCAATATGATAGCTGGTGTTCATGAATGAAATATATTTCAATCTTTCATGCAAAACAAATAAATTTTCATTTTATTTTATGCATTTTAAGTGATTTTAAGTATTTTATTACTGATTTTGCCGCGTAACGTCGCGCATTCTCCTTTGTGATGTCACCATATCATGACGTCACGTCATCAATTTTGAAATATAGTTCTGTTAAATTTTGATAATTTTTTAACATGATGTATGATGACATCGTCTTTCTTTTCCTAAAAAACAAAATTTACGTATGATGGCATTTATTTCTGCCTGTTATTCCATTTAGTTATGATTTTCTTTTCATCCTCATTCAGATATAGTTCGGCTACAGTGAAACAGTGAAGGTTGTGAGATTATAAACCAATTTGTTTTTTTGTAGTGCCAGCAATGCTGTTTTCAGTGTTACCCAAACAAATAAAAACTAGAAATTGTCACAGGTGCCGAACACCCCCCCCCCACACACACACACACGAAATTGTCACAAGTGCCGAATATCCCCCCTCCCCCACACACGCGCGCGTGCTTGTCAGAAAACGTGTTTTTATTAAATAATTTTGCACGTAGGATGATGATAAGCAGAATGCAGTTTTTTACAGATATTTTTCAAATGTTTGTGAATTTTTTGTCCTACATCAATAAAATAAATTAAAGTTTGGATTTGAAGTTTTCTTGACTTCTTTTAAGGGCAATACGTTCTTTCTCCCTGATATTTCTGTACTTCTACTCAGTGAGTTCTATCTATTTATATAGTGTCATGTTGATACCTTTCGTAGTTCTCATGTTATATCCTGGACAAAGTTCAAAGTATTAAAATGAACAAAGGGCAATAACTCCAAAATTAGGGTAGAAAGGATAACGGTTCTTCCACACTGCACTTCTCTCAGTTACATCTATCTACCAACATATTTTCAAGTTGATACCTTTGATAGTACTCAGGTAATTTCCAGGACAAAATTCAAAGTGTAAAAATTAACAAAGGACAATAACTCCAAAATTTGGGATATGACGATCATGGTTCTTATTTACTGCACTACTCAGTAAGTTTATATGCCTACAATGTTTTTAGTTGATACATTGTGATGTCCCGAACAAAGTTCAAAGTGTAAAAGTGAACAAAGGGCAATAACTCCAATATAAGGCAAGGCAGAGTAACGGTTCTTTTGCAGTGCATTCCTACTCAATGATTATATATAACTACAAAGTTTCAAGTTGATACATCTTGTCGTTTTAAAGTTATGTCCCGGAAAAGTTTGAAGTGTAAAATATGGGGCAATAACTCCAAAATAAGGCAATGTAGTGTGACGGTTCTTTTTGGACTGCTTTTCTACTCAATAAGATCTATCTACCTACACAATTTGAAATTGATATCTCTTTTAGTTTTTGAGCTATATCCCGGACAAGAAATCTGCAACGGGCCGACCGACCGACTGACCACCAGCTGACTCCAGTATACCCTCTTTAACTTCGTTTGGAAATAATATTTATAAGTAACTATTTGTAGAAAAAAATCGAACCTGTTGCTGGCATCTCTACATTTCCTTGTGAATAGGGAATGGCTTTGGCAATGCACGACTGACGATTCAAGCTTATAACAAAAACCATTGCAAGGAAGATGTGACTTATTAACGAAGTCTTCATTTCTCCAGCGAATAATTTATAGCAAGTTTATCTTCTTTGTCAATTTAGATTCTGAAAAAGAGTTATAATCTGTTTTAATTGCTGTATATATGAATATTAGATGTATTATTTTAGAGATATTGTAAATGGTATGGAAGTATAAAATGAAAAAGCATTTATAAAGAGATAAACATTTTTTTTAAATTTTCTAATATACATAATAATAGTTCAAACTGCGATTGACATTCTGGTATATAAGGTCAATTTATTTTTTTATATAATTATTTCTTTATCATAAAGAGTTGATCTACGAGGGTTTTTTTTTTTTTTTTTTTTTTTTTTTTTAAAAAAAACTTTTTTAAAGGGATGGGATGATGGCAAAACTGGGCAAGCATTTCCTTTTAAAAGGAGACTTTATTATAAAATATAACTAAAAAAGTCACTCCGTAGTTTACAATAAACATGGTCACTCAGGCGCTTGCAATATATTATGTAGACATGCACATTAGTTTAAAATTCTTAAAGTTCAATTATAGTTAAAATTTTAAGTTATATATATGTACGTAACGGATATATATATTCTATAAAAGGTGTCATCGTGAAATTAATATAATATAGCACGCTGTCAAAAAGCAAATACCCCACTATGTAAAGCCGAGGAAGTTTTATATTATTTATGATAAATGTGATTCATTCCGTAAAAAATGTTCACACACTGTCCCCAAAAGTATTCCAAACTCCATTTTCTAAATCATGGATACCCCCGAAGAATACGAAAACTTTCCTTAGCATACTCAATAGTATCATAAAATATTGAAATAGTTTCGCTCTCTCTATATATAATCTGGTTATCTGCCCCCGTGTGAGATAATTAAAACAGATTATATATATGGACACGATTTTTTTTGTTCGTATGTTAATATTTATTTTAATGAAAAGGAGAGATTTCCCAGTAAGATTGTTGCTTCGGGGGGGGGGGGGGGGCTTTATATTCTATAAAATGTTGCTTGGCATTGTTTTGTGGGCCGTGTCTGAAAATACTTTCTTACGGAATGAATAATATTTAATACAAGAAGGCAACTTCCCCGAGACGTTTGCATATGCTTGTTAAACTGTGTAGACAATTCTCCCGAACATTTGCCTTTTGAACTCTTACTATGTTATATGAATTTCACGTATTTGAATACAATCATTTTTAATAAGCTTCGGTTGTCGTCCTGGTAATTTAATGTTAACAGTACAATATCAATATCATTTCAATCATTGATTAAAAAAGTAATTTTTATTTACATAATCTATTGTATTCCTTTTGTGGCCTACAAAAATGAAGAAAAAAAAACCAAACAAACAAACGAAAATTACGCGCTTCCCTACTTTCATATTCACGTAAAATATTCATTTTAAACCCCCAATACATATTATTTATAGTTGCAAATAACAAATATCAAAATCTTTTATGTAATAAATCTTTTTTTTTTTTGTCATTTTTCAGAAGCCAAGCTGACAGCTTAGAATAGATCTAACCTTGTGACAAATGATTATTTGAAATTGATTGATTGTCAATTCTTCAGTAATAATGTCCAAAACATCGTCGGATACCCACGATTGATAAACATGTCACATAACATGCGAATGTTAATGGTTCGGCCGTGGGTATCCGACGATGTGTCCAAAACAGAATATTAATATCATTTCTTTGAATGCCAAAAGTGTAAAATATCTCTCTCCTATGAAAAAACTTTGAAATCATTTCAAAGCAAAAAATATATTTAGATATTTCACTTAACAGTAGATCTAAAACTTAAAAAAATCCTTATCCTTTTTTTTTAATCAATAAAAACGGCTTAACTGATTGAATATTGGTTGTCCCGGGATACAGTAAAGAACATTGAAACATTAAAAATAAATAAATTATTTTTAAACTTTTACTTTAATAATAAGCAAATTCATGTAGAACTATAAACAAAATAAATATTTCTTCGTGTACCTTTAAATCTGTCAATTTCTTTTATCTCAATGTTTCAACTATCTTTATTTGTTATATTTTCTGTTATCTTTTCGTGATTTACTTTCGTTCTATTTGTTTACATGACGTCAACATGAAAGTAGGTTTTCCCGTAAAAACTCGGTTAATAGTGACGTCATGATATATTGATAGTTAACAAAATGGCGGGATATTCTGTGGAATGAACATTTGCCTGGTATGTATTAACAAAACGAGGTTGAATATAACATAAACCGTTTGTGTAGATTAAAAAAAAGTTCCTCTTTGAGATATTTTTCTAAGATTTTCCTCTAAAGTTTCTACTTTTCTGGTAAAAGCAAAGTTTGATTTCTCTATGGAAAATCTCTGCTGTTTATTTTCCGACGCCATCATATGAAGATGAACAGGAGAAAGCACGTTTCCTGTTTTTTAAATGTACATGAGGTTCTCGGGGTCATTTCATGAATATTTCAAAAAGCTGGATCTACAAGCTGCAACAGTTTAGTTGCGGCAGACTCTATATGATGCAAAACTTCAAAAACGTGAATAAAATGCAAAAAAAAACATCAAGTCACATGGAGCAGAAATTGCACTTACTTTTATGTTTTAAGCGGAATTTAATCCCGTTGAATTTCGAAACAGATCTTTCTACGACAAATTCACATTCGGAAGATTCCTTCATTGCCAGTCTCCATCCAGTTCCGTAAATCCTATTTCTGACTTTTAAAACTTCTGAATGACAATCATGATGACTCCTAATCTTAGGAACTTTAATCCAGATGAAACATTGCTCCATATACTAGTCGATCCGGCTTACATCGGACATCGTCGGTCATCGGACACATTCACTCTGACGTAATTTTTAGAAGTTTTTCTCTACATACACACTGCTCTCGATGCTTCACTGTTTTCGGGAGACATACCGTAGAAAATACAAATCGAACTCGCCTTAAATGACGTAATTTTGTATCGGGTTTTTGATTGGTCAAAATAACGACTCTCTTTTATTCTACTTTCATTTTGACGTCACAGAAAATATCAAAGAACTCAAAAAATTCGGTATCTAGGGATCTTTACTCTTTTTATTTTGTTATCACTGAGAATTTTATCGAATAACTTCATAGCGTTAAATATGTATAAATTTTGCATTTTGTGGGAGAAATCAATAAAAACATTGAAATGTTTGATAAATATTTGAACAATAAAATTAATCTGTCCGATATTACCCTCACGGAAAAAGCACTCTATTTTTGCCCACGGCTTACATCGGACAGTATGAAAATTCAGTAAATGTTTGATTAAAGTCTGAATGCGTCCACACTTAAGACATCATATTCTAGCCAACGGACTTTCTAAAAAATAAAATCTATATTGATATATGAGCTCTGTTTTGCGAAAGCACAAATTATTCTTTTAAAAAACCTAGCTCTGAATTTCATTAGGAGGCAGCCAGCGGCCCATTTGTCCGCCTAAAATAAAATCCGAGCGGCAAAAAGAAAAAAAATCGGTCACCGGCCATGAAAGACTGTCTAACACGCTATTTTTATAATTTATTCATATTAAACCTACACTCATTCAGTACCCTCTATCGCATTTGCGTATATTTCTTGGGTTAGACGATAACGGGATTCTTGTATTCCGAAATTTCAAGAAATCGGGAGGAATACCTGGGGATTCCGTTGGGATCCCTAAAAAAATACAGTGCAATTTGAAAAAAATATTCTTAATTGATAACATAAAGTCACAAATATTCAAGAAAAGTCATGTCAGTAAAGCAAGGTTCAAGAAAGAAAAGTGGCGGCAATTAAATCTACTCCATACGCTAATTAACTAGTACTCTTTCTTTGTACAGTCAGTCCATCAACTCGTCTGTGATATAATATTTATAATATCTGTCATATGTTGCGGTTCGGACCGGAATATCCGTCCAGAGGTGACCCGCCCATTGGGCGGGTTACCGAGGGACGGATATTCCGATTCGAACCGCAAAAATATGTCAGATATTTTTTCTTGCATATTCTACAACATTCCATTATATTTTTTAATTCTTTATCTTTATTTTCAACGGAAATTTATATCATTACAGCCGTAACTATTTTCTTACAACAGCGTATGAAATTGCAACTTCATTCATAACGGAAAAATGACGTCATCCTAAGCGTGCCATTGTACAGCACGCGACTCATCTGGCACCCCCATGCCAGATGAAATTTCCGGCATGGGTAAAACACTAGTAAACGCCAGTCTGCTATGCAAGAAATATTGTTTCAAAAATGTTTTGGCTATAGAAACAATCTAGAACATGTTTATGTCATGCAATGACTTCATTATATTAAGGTTTGAAAGTAGAATCGCCAAATTATTTCACAAGTGGTGTACTTCAAACACGTGCTGATCAGAATTGCGGGCCGTAACTACGAAACGGGTTTTCAGAAGTTTAGTTTATTTAAATTTCATGCATTATCCAATGTTTATAAAGTTTGTTTCTTTGTGCAGAAATTCAGCAACACATGGGGGGGTGCCAGATGAGTCGCATTTTTTTACGAAAATTCACCATTATAGTCTGGATGGTTCTGTTGTAAATTTCATTTTTTTTCTCCCTAGAGCAAAGGTTAAATATATGATAAAAAATAATTCATACTTAAGATTAAAATCCTTTTTGGTAACTCACAGTTTTAATGCTGAAAAATATTGTGTAACTGTTTAAAGTTCTCTGAGGTCAATCTAGGCCACGCATAATTTACCGACATCAACTAAAAAAACTCCTTAGGTGAAACATGTACCAAAGTTACGTATATTTCATCTGACAGTTCTTTGAGCCAATCAGTGTTCTGAACTGCATGATCACTGCATGCGGTGAGCAGGGGCGTAGCCAGCTTTTTTAACTTGTAGGCAAATAAAAGGGGGTCTGGGGGCTTAGCCCCCAAAAGACAAAAACAAGTTCAGATTAAAAAGAGCAAAATGCACGTTCCAAAGTATGTTCAAGTAAAATTATCAAAGCAATAATTTTAAACTATGAATTTGATTAGATGCATACTTTGAGGATGGTAAATCATGCACACACACTTGATTCGATTATACGGCTTAAACTCACTACCAACTCCACTCTCGCCTGTTTTATTGTATTTTTGGGACTTTTGAAAATGTTAATTTCTTGACCAACTTGTAGCCAAAGAAACGTGCAAGAAACGCAGACAATATAGATATATAGGGAAAATGAATTTGCCGACATATATTTCTTTTATTAACAGTATAGAACATATAGTAAAATGCAGACGATATAGAGTATATATAGTACTTGCAAAGAAACGCAGACAATATAGATATATAGTGAAAATGAAAAAAAATTGCAGACATGTATTTCTTTTATTAACAGTATAGAACATGTAGTAAAATGCAGACAATATAGAGTATATATATAGTACTTGCAAAGAAACGCAGACAATATAGATATGTATTGATTTGATAAACACGTTTTTTCAATGATAATTATATTTATATTTTTACATTACAATGTTTTTTTTTAATAATTATAAATGCTTTATAACATTGTTTTATTAATTATTTAATGATTACTTTGTAGATGGACTAAGTATTCAAATCAAATAAAAATATGTTATGTTCTTTAAATTTGTTTTGAAATTTACTTTATTGTCCCCATTAAAATTTTGCTTATTAAAGTTAAAAAACTTATATTAGACATTTTATCCTAAATTCATAAAAGTTAATTCAAATCAAGCATAGTATGTCGAATAAACCTTTTTTATATCACTTTTTATTTTTTCTTAATTGATATCATCTTAATAAAAAATCATAAAAAAAAATGTATATTTTTTTAAAATTCTAATTTATTATCAAATATTCATACCTACAAATCTCTAATATCTTAAAATTTTAATCTTAAACATGCAAATCTAAACATCTTTTTAGTGTCTAATTTACACCTTCTTATTCTATATTGTCTGCGTTTTGTAAAAACACTCTATATCTATATTGTCTGCGTTTTGCTATATATCCTATATTGTCTGCAAAAGCGTCTACGTTTTAGACCGACCCCAAGATTACTCCCCTTTATTCTTTGCCAACTGACCTTGACATTTACTTCACAATCAACGACATTTTTCTACTAAAACTCAGTAGATATTTAACATATTTTATCAGTACTGTATGGTAGCAAGTAAATGAAGAGGGAAAGGGAAGTATTTTCTGTAGCTACTGTATTTAAAGAGTATATTTTTGTAAAAACATATTAATGTATTGATGCCTGTCATTATAAATAATGACTCATGTTTTTTTCGTACCACAATAATCTCGCGCCATGTGCAAAGCATGACTTATGCAGCATGTTCAGATTGACATTAATTCTCTTTCTTTCTAGAAAAAAAAACACTACTGTAAGATAGCTGAAGCCTTTGATAAATAAGTGACTTCTCTCATTTCTAATTCATAACAGAATCTATCAGTCTATGTAAGAAATATAAGAATTAAAATTAAATTTAGAAATTAAAATTAGTACATCTGTACTGTGTAGGTCTGTCATAAAAATAGGTCAAGTAAACATGTGCCAAGGTTTTATAGGACCAAGATGACACAAAGGCTGAATTAATTTTAAGGTCAAGCTTATTCCTATAAGTTAAGTATGACGCCATTTGAGATATAATCATATATTTTCTTTGCCCAGGCTTGAGAAACATAACCTATAACAAGTACGTAATGTCTGATATATTGGACTAGGGTCAAGCTCAATTTGAGTCCTGTTTATTATTCAAAACACTTTTACTTGATTACGACCATCCCAGCACAAACTTGGTTATAAACATTATTTTTGTTATACATAGAGGATATTGAACGAGTGTAAGTTTAGTACTGAATTTATTGAACGAGTTGAATAAAAATTTATTATACCAACCTCTGGCTAGCATAATATTATCTTATTCAACAAATTCAATATATTCAGTAATGACCTTACACAAATATGTTATACTATTTAACACTTTAACAACTATTATTTTAAAGTGCAAAAGAACCATTTACATTGACGCGCTGACATCTAGCGCGACTCAACTCTATGTTTGTATAATGCAAATGACGTCACATCCAAATATATGCATGGCCCTGCAATACCATTTTAC